AATTCGGTTTAACGGGGTAGATTTACTATAACTGATCCTGGAACCATCTTCGGTTGTAATTAGTGCTTCGGTTAAACGGGGTTCGTTATAACGGGGGTTGCCTTTGTATATCTTATACTTGGTTGATTTATGTTATTAATTTTTTTTCCGAATTATGGTAGATGATGTGAGTGAGTACCGGTAAGATTTCTATTTTAGTTTATGGTAAACTGGATTTGACGTTCTAAAGTTATTTTCCCTGTTTGATACTAAAAAAAATTTACAACTTTGATTTTTATCTCGTGTTTTATATCTTTCCAATTCAGTCATGTAACATTGCCGCGAGCGATAGCACAATACATTCCACGTAACAGACTCATGTCTGAAAGAGAATGGCGAAGTTATGGCGTTATGCAATCGGAAGGATGGGAACACTACATGATCCATGGTGAGAAACAATTTCACGCGTGTATCATAACAATTGCCCTAAGGGACATTCCATTTATCAGGTGATTTTTTTAGAGGATAATAATTGATCTTTATTTATGTGAAGATATCATGTGAGGTGGAGAGGAGATCTATAATTACCTGATGAATGGCATGCCCTTAATTTTTATGAAAATTTGTGTCGTTAAAATATTTATAATAGCTCCAGAACCGCACATTCTACTCTTCAAACGAGAAATATATTATCAGGATAAGTATCCAAATGGGAAATATGCATATCTACATCCACAGCAGCCCCAATCTCAACATCAGCATCAAGCCCACCCTCAACACCAACCTCAGTCTCAACCCCAACCCCAACATCAACCTCAACACCAAACCCAACATCAACGTCAGCATCCACACCAACAACAGATCCAAGCTCAGCACCAGCATCAGTCTCAACCACAACAGTAGTATTGGTAGAACTGGTTAATGAATGTATGCCATTAACTTTAATTCACTGCATAGTATCTGAATTAAAAACATAATGTTAATGATAATCTTATTCTATAATTTGCCAAATTACTACTATTCATAGATATAAATAGAATGATTCAAATAAATAACGAATATTACGAAAAATAGCTAAAGTTACACAACTAAAATTACAATTGTATTTTCACATGATGATGTGAATGACATGAAAGCTGGCTAGAGAATACTATTTTACCATCGTTTGTTAATAAAAGTTCTGCGTTTATGAATGTTACTACTAGTACCATTATTATAATGAATACTAGTACCATTATATTTTGGCGATTTCAATAATTTTTGTGCTTCATCGTCATCACCCCAATATACAAGCGTGAGTTTTAGTACCACTACACCATGTGACGGGATGTTGTATGTGGTAACCCTTATGACAAAAAATTAGATTTAGTGATTTCATTTGATTCAATAGTGAAAATATCAAACATAAATAAAATACATACTCTTGAACCCAGATTCCTAACTCCTCTTTAAGCCACAGATCTCTAGCACTAAAAACCATCACTTCGTTTGAAGTACCGTTTGTATTATTGGTTTTGTTGTCCGTAGAATATTTTTGGAAAAACGGTTGCAGTAAGGAGAATGGCATTGTTACATTCTGTGGTGTATCTCCACGATTAAACAAAACTTCGAAATAAATTATTATCGTTAGTAAATTTATAAGAAATATGAAAACACAAAGAAGAAAAGTGATAAACTTACTGGCTACACCATTTTGAAGTCCATACTCCTCGGACAATTTTCCCGCCCACACATCATAGCTATTATCTTTCCGGAACACCAATTTCGCCGATTGCCCAAGCGGATCTTGATTAACTGCGATAATTTCCGCGTTAGAGAGAATATCACGTGTTCCATCAGTAAGATTACGAACATCACAGCCGATTATGAGAGGTGATTTTAGAGCGGCCCATAAGGCTATATATATATAAAACCGGGAGTGTTATTGTTATATCCAATTATACTATTGTTATATTAAAAAAATACGCACAAAAATGTGTCTTGTACTCTTCATGCGTCATGCCGCCATTTCCAACCTCTAACATATCAAGATCATTGAAACCACCAGGTTTAGAGTATCCTTCAAGCCCAACCGTGCTATCCAGAATTTCGAGCATCCCGCACGGATTACAGTGTCGTGGATCTTGTTTCTTGTTCACGCGATATACGTCATTTATGTCACCAGTGGTACGCCATGAGTTTCCGATTCCTGCTCCCCTGAGAAAATTTTTTAAATTTTCCTTTCAATTCAATTTATGTAATAAGCCAGAAAAGAAAAGAAAAATACCAGGTCCAAGGATCTTGTTCACCCCAATTACATATCGAGTACAAAATCGGACGACCAGTCTTGTTCAGTGCATCGCGCATCCCTAAGATGATTATATTTGGGGTTGAGATACATGGTACATACAATAAAAATATATTAATACATAATACATACATGTGTATCGATCTACCGCATCCAGAGCCAAATTATAGCAGTTATCGTATTTTAGGTAGTCAACACCCCAGGAAGCATATGATTGCGCATCAATATCTTCACGAAATAATGAGCCTGGGCGTCGTTGACAAGTCCAGAATCCTAATATATAATAATAGAATTTGCTTAACGCGAATGATTGTATAGGAGGGGATTATATTTTAATCTCCGCCATACCTATGTGCATATACATCACATAAATATAGGAAATGCGGGTATGTACATGTTAAAACACCAACATACATACCAGCGCTCGAATAAATTCCAAACAGCAATCCACGCTCATGTATGTAATCTGAAAGATTTTTCATTCCCGACGGGAACTTGTCATTATCATAATTAATCTCCCCGAAGAAGCTCCTACTTTTCATCCAACAGTCGTCAAGATTCAGATACTTGTATCCAAGGTCACGTAGTCCGGTGCTCACGAGAGCATCTGCGGTCTCTCGAATGAGCTTTTCGTCAATGTTGCAACCGAATTTATTCCAAGAGTTCCAGCTGTTTTGGATTTTATTTTGTTCAATTGGTTAGGTGTGTTATTTGAAAAATGGAGCAAAACGTGTTGTTAAATATGAGTGCAGGACAAAAATTGGTGGAATGACAAATAATGCCGAGTATATAGCAATTTCAATTACCCCATGGCTGGCGTGCGTCCCAACCCATTTTCTAGCGCGTAGCAAAATTGGTTCAAATAAATGAGAGAAACGAAAAAAGCAAAGGCAATAGAAATACGATTTATCATTCTAAAATTTTCTATTGAAGAAAATATCCAAAATATCCAAACATCTAGGTATTTATATATGACCAACGCTGCATAGATTATCCATCCCCCTTTTTTAATTGTTTGTTTTCTGTTTTAAATTAATAAATAACCTTGTAACGTCCTGGCATGCAGTGAATTACGATACTGCATACATATGGGATGGGTTGAAGGAGGTCAATGATGTCAAATGATGTCCTAGATGCTCCAAACTAGGTTAAAAGCATCTGTTTTGTGTTGCCGGGCTGAGCCAAAATGTATCGGGAAAGCCAAAGCAACATTGTTCCGGTTAATGATTTATAAGATTAGGGTAAAGGTAAGGATTAGAGATTATATGTAAAATTTTTCTTCCCGACATTTTTTAACTAGTATTCAAAGGCAGATTTAGACACCAGTTTTCTCGAAATATTCGTTTTTGTTTTGCCGGTTGATTAAAAATTTGTCCATTTTTGGGTTTTCAAAAGACATAGATGTGCTCGGGTACGTTACATTTTACCTCTAAAAACAATTAACAAGAAGGTGGTATTCTATGACCGGTTCAGGGACAATTATTTTATGTTAATTAGATAATACCCCACCGCATAACAAATAAACAATTAAAATACCATCACTGAACATGTGGTTTTTAAGGGGTAAACCAATAAAATCGCAAGATCAATGAATTCAAAATTTGCTTGCTATAAAATTTATTAAATTTGCACGTGTGATATAATATAATCTTAACGTTCTATTAGGGGTGCAGACTTATTATTATAAAGTTGCAACTCTAGTTACAACTCGCCAATGACGTATTAAAGTTGCAACTCTAAATAATCATTCAACTATTGGATGTTGTATTAAAGTTGGATGTCATATTAGAGTTGGATGTCGTAACTGGAATCGGATGTCGTAACTGAAGTCGGATGTTGTATTAGAGTTGGATATTGCATAAAGTTGGATGTCGTATTTAGAATTGGATGTCGTAACTCGAGTTAGGAAGCGGTTAAAGCTTAGTCCATCACGTGATCCGAGTGGCTGATGTTCACTTCAGAATCGATTCTCCGACTCTCCGAAGGGAATGATAATCATAAATCATACATTTTACCGTTACCACATTGTCAATTGTCAACAAGAGCTTCGCTCTGTATGTGTGTGTGTGTGTGTGTGTGTGTGTGTGTGTGTGTGTGTGTGTGCGCGCGTGTGTGTGCGTGAGATTGTGAACAAAAAATAAACTTTCCTACGTATGATGGGTGGTTCATAGGCGATAATGTTCATTTTTACAAAAAAGGAACAAAAAATGAAGACCCAGATCAGTGAATTGGGATGGAAGTTGGACAATAGTAATTACACGGTTATGTGAAATGAAGAGGCGAGATGGATCGCTCATACAAAATGATTTGTTGCAGCTGTGCAAGTAGTCTTCATCGAAGGGAATTATAAATTTAGAAATAAAATTATTGCTAATTGAGATAAAAACTTTTAGAATCGTCGAAATATAATAAACGATTAAAGTATGCCTTGATCAGTGTAATACTTCCAACTCTAATACGACATCCGACTTGAGTTACGACATCCGACTTTATGTCGGGCAGTTGCAACTTATGGTCAGGCAGTTGCAACTCTGGAATTTTAATGTCTGCACCCCTACGTTCTAAACGAAATGCTATTAAATAAGAAAATACTTTAAATTTTTAAGCATAATTGCATAGAATACCCGTGTTGATTTAGTAATTTATCCGGTTAGATTCTGCTCCTGGCATCCCTTGTTTGTGTCCCCCTAATATGGCCAATCAAATTGCAAGATCAACGTGTCTAAGATCCTCACCCATAAGAATGTATATCTTGCAATTTGATTGGTAAAAAATCACATGATCGGTCATCAAAACAAGATAAAATTTTTTTGTGTTAAGTATTGATTAGATCAGGATAGTGCTGAATCAGATGATCTTTCCAGGCCTGTACTGCATAAAATTTATAAACTCGTAAATTTTTTGTCAACAATCAATAAGAATACACAGATTTTTTAATCAACCTGACAAACCAAATTCGACTTAAAGACAAATAAATCTATCTTGGATGATTAATTAAATATGTTAGAAAGGCAATTCTGTCCCTCCACCAATACTTTGACTCTGGTCAGATGTAATAAAATTTGATGTGATAGAATATTTAATTACTTTGTTATCACCCAATCATAAATTTACTGGTCTGAAAAGATCACCAGGTCCCTAAGTACAAGTCTGCCAGAGTAATTTCTAAAAGTTTGGACCACGTGATATTGCTGATCAATACTGGTATTTCCAATCTGCCAATTCTAATTCATGGAATATTTATATGTTACAAGTATATTAAATATACTTGATTGGTACTTATCTCAATTTGCAAGGTGAATGAAAAATATAATGAGAATTTGTTCAAGTAATTCTTCACAAGTTTTATCAATTACGTCAGAGTTTACATTATCTTGTATTAGTGTTGTATCATTTAGTGGAAAGTATTGGTAGAGAGATTCTTTTAGTATTTCTTCAGTATCTTCTACATTAAAGATAAATTCTTTGAATTTAACATTACTATTCTTTTTACAGGTAACAGTAATTAATTATGATTTTGATAAATTATTGAAGAATAATTAAATAGAATTTTAGATAAGTATAATTAATAAATATTGTTATCTTTTTAATATGAGTTCTGAAATGAGGGTGAGTATTAAACCTAATATTACAAAAACACGTGATAAAAGTGACCACGTGTTTAAAGCAATATTTGGGAGAGTCTTTAAAAGGTTTATTGACAAGAATATTTCTACTATTATTTCAAAGTTTAATCTAAAGGTAGGTAATGATAATGTTCTTGTTATAACTAGCTAGAATGTAGTCTAATTTCAATATGTAATTTCAAGACAGATGTAATGTTCAGTTTATTAACAAGATGAATTAATAGATCTTAATCAAGATCTATT